GCTGGCTTCTGCTTCGAGGGACAGCAGAGCTATCGACAGATTCAAGTGTGCTCGCCCGAAGCAGAGGCTTTCGCAGGCGACAACTTTCGGTCGGCTGCTTCCTTCCAGCCTAGATCCAAACAAGCTGTTCAATTTGTACACATTGACACTGCGGACCCTCCTTTGGAAGCTGTTCATGAGCGATTGCTCTGGCAACTAGCAGCAGAAGCAATGACGAAGTAGTACTAGTAGCTGTCGTCGTCGTCGTGCCAGAAGAGCAAACGGTGACAGTACAGTCCATACGAGCAATCAAAGCATGGAGTGACCGGCCGTCGGGCTGATCAGCTAAAGCAAACCCGTAGAACTCCAGCAGCCTTTTTTCTGCAGATGCAAGACCACTCCGCCATGTGGCGTCGGTGTCTTTGATGGCCCGTTTCCGCGGCTCAGAGGCCGAGGTGCCGGTGAGACCAGGGAGTTTTTTTTATGATGCGACGGGTGATGCTAAGCACCGCAATGGAGGAGGGATTCAAGAGGTGCAGGTTCGCATGTCAAAGGGTGTGAAGGGCGCAGCTGCTTTGACATGGTTTCTTGCCAGCATTCCCTGAATGATGGACTTGGAATGTCCTCATCTTCGATTCAGGATTGGCCTGACTACCGCCACGGCTGATTCTCAAGCTTTCAGACTGTGGGTGTTCTCGGAGTCGGAGTTCCAAACTCTCTTGGCTCTCGTGGTCCGTGTCTGGTCTCCAGTCCGGAGTTTCGGAGGTGTAATAGCGATGCTTGGGGGTTTTCTGAAGCCCGTACTTCATCGGACTCAAGACCTCATGTCCGGGCACCTTAAGCACAGTCCTGGCTCAGAGCAACGCGGAAAAGAGGCTCGTGGTCCCAAACACCGAGTTGAGTGGCTTCAGGTTGGTATGCCTTGGACCCGGGCAGACTTTAACCTAAAGTCTTTAAGACCTGCAGACACTACGGCAGCAAACCTTTGTTCCCAAGCACAGCCTGAAACCATGACGCCAAATATTCAATAGCCTGTGCGTTGGAACCAGCAGCCCCGAACGTGATCCAGGCAGCGGGCTATGGTGTCGACAAGCTACAAGGGAGGCCGGGAAAGCCACAGCAGGGTAGGGTCTGAGAGCATCAAAGGACCTTGGCGCATATCGCAAACTCTGTGAGTGTGTCTTTACGGGTCAGGGTTGGAGGAGCCGGGATCTCTTTTTCGTCTGCCTTGCTCGTTTTCTCCTCGGGGGGAAGGATTCGGAGTGCGCCTTGCAGTTGCCAAAGCGGCTGAAACTTGAGCAAGGCCCGTCAACTTCGTCACCTGGCGTCCGTATCTGCTCCCTCGGACCTGGAGCCTCAAGACTCCAAGCCAACAGCCTGCAAGGCACTGCCAGAAAAGGAAGCCAAAAGGCCAAGAGACATTTCAGACTCAAGGGTCACATGATCGTATAGAGGTCTAGAGTTTTTTTTCAATCCACTTAACCAGTACCGAGTATACATGACTGAAAACGCATAAGAACTTGAAATTAAACGAGACTCCTTTGATGTGTTTAGCGAGGGCGGCCTCCCGGTTCGGCCATCAGGCCGCCCAGCGTGGGCGAATTCAGCTCCCCGGGTCAGTTCCAGGCCGGATGCGTTCAGAAAGCCGTTTTCCGTCATGCAGCGCTTGCTGTTTCGATTTGAGACTCGGCAGTTTGCAAACAACTCTTGGCAGAAGTCCTGCAGTTACTTAGAACTTTGTCATAACAGATGCTGTATGACAGTTCTGTGTTGCCGATTTGGCAGGACGCCCTCGTGAAGCCCTTAAGCCAAGATGTTCTTCATCACAGTCGGAAGTGATGGTGTAGAGAACGCACAGAAGGGAAAGCCGTATGTTGTTTGAATAACTTGCCTGTCGGAGATCTTGAAAGAGCTCCACAGCAGCGCAGCTGGCTCTGTACACCTTGCAAAGGTCAAGGCGCAAAGGGCTTGCAAGGTGAGCTAGGTCTAGAGTCTGGGCTGTGTTCGGGTTCAGGAGTTGGGTGATGGTGCCTGGCCGCTATCTAAACTATCTAAACCCTCCTCGCCCCAGACCAGCCAGATCCCCCAAACTATCTGAACTATCTGAACCCCTTCCGGTTTAGATAGTTCAGATAGTTTGGGCCCCCCAAATTACATAGTTTGGGGACTAACCCGGGCCCCCAAACTATCTTTACTAGCTAGACCCTCCTCGCCCCAGACCTTTCGCGAGCGCCCAAACTGTCTAAACCATTTAAACTCCTCGCGGTCTAGATAGTTTAGATAGTTTGGGGCCTCACCCGGGCTCCCCAAACTACAAAACTATCTAAACCCATCTCGCCCCAAACCAGCGGAAGCCCCCAAGCTATCTAAACTATCTGTTTGTTTGTTTAGATAGTTTGATAGTTTAGATAGTTTAGATAGGTGAGATAGTTTGGGGCCTCACCCGGGCCCCCCCAAACTATCTAGACAGTCTAAACCCATCCCGGTTTAGACAGTTTAGATAGTTTGGGGCCTCACCCGGGCTCCCCAAAGTCTCTTTCCTATTCCAAGCCTCCTCGTCCCAGACCAGCGGGAACCTCCAAACAATCTAAACTATCTAAACCCCTCGCAGTTTAGATAGTTTAGATAGTTTGGGGCCTCACC